TTTTTTTTTTTTTTTTTTTTTTTTTTTTTTTTTGTCTTTTTGTCTTTTTTTCGTGACCGGCAACGGATCGCAACCCTCAGTGTCGCGCCGGTACTGGACCGGGACCGGCAACAGGATCGCAACCCTCGGCGTTGCCCCCGCTCCCCGCTCAGCCAGTGAGCGGCCGGTCTATATGTGGGATCCGAACCCTCGGCAGGAGCACCACCGCGCTTCCCAAGCGGCGCACTGTAGCAGTGCGCCACCGGGCCAGCCCCACATATTCTTTTTTTTAACAACCCTTTAAAAATGTAAAAACCATTCTTAGCTCATAACTCATGAGCCATAATTTTACCAACCCCTGTTCTATATGATAAACTTTATAAATATCAAATATAGTTTATCTTCCTTCATCACCTCATAAAAATGGTATGAGGACACAAATTACCTACGTTTAAAATAAGACCAGTATTCTGCCTTAGGTACAATTGATGATAATAGTAGACATCAGTTATCTAAATTACTGATCTTTAAACAGAGAATGTTAAATTGTTAATAATGGTCTTAATTCCCCTCCCCCTCTTGTGTGTCCCCTCACTGAGAAGGGTAGACAAGAAGGGAGTGTTTTTAAAAACTAAAGCAGGCCAGCCCGGTGGTGCACTGGAGTGTGCACCGCTTGGGAGCGCGGTGGCGCTCCCGCCGAGGGTTCGGATCCCACGTGGAGACCGGTTCCCGCTCACTGGCTGAGCGTGGTGCGGGCGCAACACCGAGGGTTGTGATCCCATTACAGGTCAGTAAAAAAGACAAAAAAAAGAAAAAAAACTAATCTAAGGGCTGAGCCCGTGGCGCACTCGGGAGAGTGCGGCGTTGGGAGTGCAGCGGCACTAACGCCACGGGTTCGGATCCTATATGGGGATGGCCGGTGTGCTCACTGGCTGAGCACGGTGTGGCCGGTCTCAAAAAGGACACAAAAATAAATAAATAAATAAATAAAAATAAAAGACTAATCTAAATTTCACCTTCATTCACAGGCAAATAACCGTTTGCTGCTCACAGGCACACCTGTACAGAATAATCTGTTAGAGCTCATGTCACTGTTGAATTTTGTTATGCCTCACATGTTTAGTAGTAGCACCAGTGAAATACGAAGAATGTTTTCTTCTAAGACAGTAAGCATAAATGCATATTTTCTCCCAAATATGTTACTTTGTGTTTAACCTGGTCCATTTTTCTGTTTTGTCTTTGTTGTTTTCATAGTGCACATGCTGTATGAAATAAGTTTCAGTAGTTGATATCCCTGTAGTTGGATCAGTTTGGAAATCAGCCAAAATATAATGGGGAAAATATTGGTCACTTCCATAATCAGTGTCCAAAATTTTGATTTTTAATATCCTAATTTTCTGAATAATGATAATTTTAAATTGATGGAGAGCTCACATATATAATATGTGGGGAAAAGTTTGATCGTTTCATCTTCTTTATCAACAAAGAGGTAAATTAGTAGCATTTCTTTATGGGTAAACTGTAGAACTGGACAAAGTGTATCGAGAAAATGTCTGTACTGGCAAATACTTTTTGAAATAAAAATCCATAAATATAAAAGTAAGAATTTCTAAAAAGTATAGTAAAGAAATCCTCTCTAGAAGGAGAGTTTGGTTAATTTTCTCATTTATCACTTAGAAAAAGTACAGTATAGCCTTCAAGAACTCCCAAATTTTTCAATACAGCAATGTTTATATAGATTCTTGGCTCTTGCCCAAATCACATATCTTTTGTGAGAATTTTCTATGGTATTCTTTCACTGCAAATTAACTGCCTTTTTAACATTTACCAATGAATTCCTTCCCACTTGATGTACAATTTTTAACATGGCTTAGCTGATTTTTTGAACTACTTTTCTAGCTTTAAATCATAGATATGAAGGATCCCTTCACTCTTAGAATTCCACTTTTTAATTCTCCAAAATCTCCTCATACACCTTCTAAACCGCAAGCCAACGCATGCATTTTTATTTCATGAACGTTACCTAGGTAATCAGTTAATTACTCATCAGTTGGTGACTTCTGAACACCAACTGGAGCAGTTCAAATTCATTATCTCAGCAGAGTGCATCATTACATTTCATGAAATCTCAAAATGTAGCTTCAAGAAGTAGATTCCAGCCCAGAACTCAAATGTGAAATTCCATCTTGCATGAACTGAATTTCTGTAGAAAATAACCCAGATTCTAGTGAGGAGAATTTTCATGTGTAAGACTGTTCTTATGATAATTTAAATGAATAATTTCTGAAAGGATATGTTTTTTGTTTAGAAATCAGCGGATGAGCAAAGTATATATGAAAAGGAGAGAATAGCACATGCAAAACAAATTATAAAGCCATTTATTCTCAGAAGAGTAAAAGAAGAGGTAATTCTTATGTGCATTTTTGGGTTATGATTGTTTTGAGTTTTGTTTTGTTTTGCTTTGCTTTTTTGGCAGCTGGCTGGTATGGGGATCCAAACCCTTGACTTTGGTGTTGTAACACTGCACTCAGACTGAGAACCAGCCAGCCCCTAGGTTATGATTGTTTTTAAAATTATGTTTTCTTCTTTATTAATCATTTTAAACTGTTTTCCTTTCTCAGGTTCTCAAGCAGCTACCCCCCAAGAAAGATCGAATTGAGTTGTGTGCAATGTCGGAGAAACAAGAGCAGCTCTATTTGGGTCTTTTTAACAGATTGAAAAAATCTATCAATAACTTGGGTATAATCTGATTTTCACAATTTTATGTGAAAAATAATCTTGTACTGGGGCTGCATTTTGTTTAATCATATGATAATGATATTTGCTCATTAAATTTGAAGAAATAATTTAAAAACTTTTAAAAGTTGAGATATATTTCAACAAACAGCTATCAGCTTAATTTTTTTAATGTGTACTCTTTGGATCACAGAAAAAAACACAGAAATGTGCAATGTCATGATGCAGTTGAGAAAAATGGCCAATCATCCTTTATTACATCGCCAGTATTACACAGCTGAAAAACTTAAGGAAATGTCTCAGCTTATGCTAAAGGTAAGGATTTCATAGTATGTTAACACTGAGCTTTATGGATACTAGTAAACAGATACAAGGTTAAGATGTTAAGCTGAAAGTTAGACCAGTGAACCCAATGGACATATTAATCCTTTAATCACATATTTAAGAAAAACATTTTTAAGACAAAGTTCAAGATAATTTGGGGGACATAAGAGCCAAGAAGAACTGATAATCTAGATCAGGGGTCAGTAAACTATAGCCTTAGGGCAATACATTTTTATAAATAAAGTTCTATTATAACATAGTTATGCTTTTTTGTTTGCGTTGTCTGTGACTGCTTTCTCTTATAGGGCCAGAGTTGAATAGCTGCAACACAGATCATCTTGACTACAAAGCCTAAAATATGTACTATCTGGCCCTTTACAGGAAGTTTGCAAACTCTTGATCTAGACTTCCATAATGCACTTCTTTTTTTAACAATGGAAGTCATTTTTCCCATTTTTTTCTTCATTTTATTTCTTTGTTGTATTTGTCTTTATAGTTTTAGCCATCACTTATTATTTTTGTCTCATTCTTTCTTAACACCTTATCCTTATTTCTCCTTACAGATCTTTGTGTTGAAAGCAACCCATTTTCTTTTTTAAAAAATTTTATGTTATTTTAAGCTTACAGAAAATTTTAAACATATGTAAAAGTAGAGAGAATTGTGTAATGCAACCTTTACCCATATAACTTTCACTCATTTTCTAGTTATCATTTGGTAATGACACTACTCTTGTTTCATCTATACCACGTAGACCCTGCCCCAGTATTACTTTGAATCAAATTCTAGACATTATTTCATGTGTAAATATTTCAGTATGTTATCTCTCAGATGATAAAGACCTTTCCCTCCTTTATTACACCTAAAAATTAATATTAATTTACTAAATCTGTTGCTCTGAAGTGTTCTGTGATTAGGTATTTTATCAGATGTGAAGAATTTGGTTATATTGTTCTAATCATATGATAAATTATTTTCATTTTGAAGTATATTATGTTTTGTTTTGTTTTAAGGAACCTACACATTGTGAAGCTAACCCTGACCTGATCTTTGAAGATATGGAAGTAATGACAGACTTTGAACTACATGTACTTTGTAAACAGTACCGAAACATTAATAACTTCCAGTTAGACATGGACTTGATTTTAGATTCTGGAAAATTCCGGGCTTTAGGACGCATCTTGTCTGAATTGAAACAGAAGGTATTTGTATTTTCCCAATTAGTTAGACTTCTTTTTTTTTTTTTTTTTTTTTTTTTTTTTTTTTCCG